GGATCCAATGCCACTGATTGGGCAGTGAGGAGGGGTGGCAGTCACAGGTTTGAGTTCGCAGGCCAGGCTCATCTCTACTCTTCACTACTGGTGATGTTCCGAAAGCTAAAACCAAAAACCCCTCACCTAAAGCCTGCTCCCCAAAATGAAATGATCAGTTTTGCAGTGCCCACTCTTAGGCAGGTGTTTCATTTAAAAAAAATTTGAAATAGCTAAAAGGCTGTGTAAGTCAGTTTACAGAAGATAAGATATGTTTTTATTTGCACTGATATCTACGGTGAGCAATGCCCCTCTTTATGTTTGAAATATGGAGCAAGGTGTGTGACAGATCATCATCAACAAAGCAGACCAAAAAATGCAACTTACTCTCCTAGACTTCGATCAGGGAAGGCAAATGAAAGGTAGGAGAGAGAAAAGGCAAAACACTAATTAAATCAATGTTAGAAATCACACAGAGAATTAACAAGAAGCCATTGAAGGGGATCTGTCCTAAAGTAAATCAACTATTGAAAGCCTCATATAGAAGATGACATTCTATGACTCCTGGGCTGCATTGTCATTTCAAGGCAGTGAAGCTGGACTGATAGAAGCTTTAGTGTGACATCCTAGGTGTCCAAGAAGGGCAGCTTCCATCTAAGGCCTCTGTTTCATGACACTCTCTTATCAGAAGACATGAAAGATTAGGGTTCTGACTTTCCAAACTCATTCAGTGCTCTCTCTATGGGCAGATAGGACGGGAACAGGGTTAGATTTATGGCAGCATATACTATACAGTTATCCGTGTCATATGTTCAGAGATTTTCTGCAAATTTTTGGCTTTCAGCACTGCGATCAGCAAACTACATGCTGATTGGTGAGCTTTCGCTTTAACCCAGCAGGGGGGCATTTCAGACCTCTGCCAAGAGACCACTACTTCCACATAAGAAAGGGTCCTCCCTTGCAGCATGCTGGCAGATTCTTCTACACAGGCTGCCGCTGCTATAAAACACCTTTTGTTTCCATGCACCTAAAATGTTTTTTGCTGCTTAAAACTGAAGGTTCAGACGAGCTTTAAAGGAAATGTGCTAAAAGTAAAACCCCATTCACACGGAGCGATTTGTAGAACGAAAAATCGCTGAAATATGAAGTTCAATGTAGCTCGTCCAATGCATTTCAATGGAGCTATTCACATCTCAAACTCGCCTGTAGCTTGTCGCTTGAACATGAGCTATTTTTCGGCGTATTTTGTGCGATTTGGCCCCAATAGGCTTTGATAGACTGCCAAAAGAGGCGCGACAAATTGTGCACTGCAGCTTAATCTCGCTCAGCTCTGAAATTTTGTTGTAGTTCAGTGTGGATGGGGTCACAGATTTCTTTTCTGAAAACAATTGACGCCTGGCTGTCTGTGGGGTTGCAATACTTTGAGTCACGGATTTGGAACAAGCAAGCAGATTAGAAAGTCAAAACTCGTGATCTGCATTCTTGTACCGGGTCAGTGATGATCAGTATGCCAGCAAGGGAAATAGCATTATCAGGAGGAGATAGTAACAATTGATATCTAAATACGTTTCTTAGTACAGGTTCGCATTAAAGCTCCAAGCAGACAGAAACAACTTCAATTCATGCAGGCACGCATTCATTAAAAATCAATCAATTATATTTTAGGAAGCAACTAACGCAAGAATCACAATTTTATTCGGCGCAACCCTCGTACAACAGCCATCAGACTGGGGGAGAGAGCAACAGCACAAGGAGTCAATCAGTTGTACTGCAGTGTTCACACGAAGAAAAGGAAAGAGCAGAGCGACATAGATGAGCTTATCAGTCCGCTTCTACTCCTTCACTGTCCAGTCACAGGCTGGGGGAGGAACAAGATCAAGTTGTATTATTTAACTGCAATAGAAAAACAGTCAGGTCTATGGGCTGTCTGTGCTGTGTTATGAGGCTGTATAAATCTCAACAAATAATGGTCAGAAATCATTTAGCAGGTAAAGCACCTCCCAGATATATTTCATCTCTGTATTTAGCTGTTTGCTTGGAGTTTAGCATTAGCATTGCCATTGTATACAGATATATTACTCTACTCGTTTCACTAGTTATATAATAACTGTAATCAGACTGTAGAGGCAGCAGGGGGTGTACTCACAATAACACATTCATCCATTCTCATAGCACTAGATTTTATTTAAAGTTAACTCTCCAAATTGCATTCAAGTATCCGAATTTTTAACAAAAATGTGTCTTATTTGTGTGTCACTCGGCTGTAGATCCTCAAATCATCTCTGGATTGGTGCTGACACTGTCCTTCCTTCTGGAGGGGGGCTACTTTTGTTCCCCATGGTCCTTGTGTGTGTTTTAAACTAGTCACCGATCTTAGCTCACTCCTGGGACGGACTACAATTTCTAGGTTTAATTTACTATTTTCTATTTAAATTGTGGTCCATCACAGGAGTGAGCTTGGAGCGGTGACTACTTTACAACACACACAGGGAACATAGTTAAGGTCCTTAAATACATTTTTAAGATTTAACGTCTGAGTTTAGTGTCACTTTAATCTTTGCTCACTCTGCAGTTCATTTCACAATCTGTCTGATTATCGTTTATTGCCTCATTAGTTAGCACAGCCTAGAGACCACCTAGGGGACTACCAGTAAAAAAAACGAATCAGCGTTGGGCCTCAAAAGAGATAATAAAGATAAAATCAGGGCATCTTGTGGTGTCTGCTCGTAGGTAAGACTTTTAGTTTAAAAGGAACTGGAGCTTCACTTCAACTGCTGAAACATCGTTTAGCAAAAATAATTGTGCTAAAAGGTATTCCTTCCACCCCAAAGATAGGAAACAACTGAACGGGTCATAGAACAGACCTGTAAAATGTAAGAGGACATAACATCTACAAAAAGACGCCACTGAAGTGAGTCGTTCCCCTAAAAACATACAGTATTAAGCTACAAAACGTGTCCCTTTTTCAGCTGTTATTTCAGACCCAGAACTCCATTAAACCCGCCAACTGCTACAAAACAAGGCCGTATATAAGAATACTTTGTGCAAGTTTTCAGCCAAGGCACCAACACAATAAGGTCCTTGCGGTATTGTTTTACTGTAGAAGACAATAGAAACGGTGAATAAGCCTTCTACTCAAGTCTCTACAGCAATACTGTATTACGTGCACTGGTGGATTGATGGGGAAAGGCAATATAAAATACAGAAGTACATCGGATAAATACACTGCCTGGCCAAAAAAAAACATTTTACTGGACCGCCTTTAGCTATGATTACAGCACACATTCGCAGTGGCATCATTTCCATAAGCTTATGCAATGTCACAACATTTATTTCCATCCAGAGTTGTATTCATTGTTCACGAAGATCTTGTAATGATGATGGGAGAGTCGGACCTCTGTGTAAAGTCTTCTCCAGCACATTCCAAAGATTCTCAATGGGGTTAAGGTCTGGACTCTGTGGTGGCCAATCCATTTGTGACAATGATGTCTCCCGCTCCCTGAGCCACTCTTTCACAATGTGGGCCCGATGAATCCTGACATTGTCATCTTGGATATAGAATATGTCCAATGTGCCATCAGGGAAGAGAAAATCCATTGATGGAAAAACCCGTTCATTCAGTATATTCAGGGGGGCAGCTGATCTCATTTTTTGCGGACATAACATTGCTGAACCTAGACCTGACCAACTGAACCAACCCCGGATCATAACACTGGCCGAAATCCAGGGGGCGACTTTTTTTGGCCAGGCAGTGTATCTTACAATACAACTGCTAAAGTAATGCAATGTGAACCTCTAAATAAGAATTCATCACACGTTTACTAATCTCCAGAGAAACATCAGAATCCGGAGATGACATATGTATAAAATACAGACGTTCACCCGCCAGCATATCTGTATTTCTGTCAGTTGAGTTGTAAGATTTACAGAGCTCAATCACACAGCACAGCCAGGCTGATGATACCACATTCTCTGTACACTAAGGCCCCATTCACACTGAGCGATTCGCAAATCGCGCATTTGCATTTTGCGCGATATTGCGCGGTTTGTCGCGCAAATGGTTGCATTGAGCAAACTAGAATCGCAGCAAAATCCGCTCCAAAAAGGGTCCTGCTGTAGCGACGCACGACCCGCGACAGTGACGGACAGAGCCCCATTGCCATGCATTGGAGAGCGATATCGCGTGGTAAATAGCCACGATATCGCGGGAATTACCGCGCGATAAATCGCTCAGTGTGAATGGGGCCTTAGACTGTAGAAGGGATGAAGTGGTGTCCTCTCATAACCCCACCTGATGATTGGACACTAAAGGAACAGCTATACACTGAAAAAGTCATCTCTCTGTTCACTCCTCCTAACAGGACATTTGCATGCAAAAGACCTGATTGGCTCCCAGTGCTCCCCCTCCTATTCTGAGTGTTTCTATATAGGGGATTACAGGATGTTATATATTTAGATACTAACACTGGTTTCATAAAAGAAAAAATACAACACCCCTGCAGGTAGTGGGGTTACTCCCGCTGAATTATATGCATCTTACAGAAGCAGGGATTGTACACTGTGCTTGCATTCCAATCAAGGTACATTTAAAAAAAAATTAAAAATAAGCTAGCAGATAGGCGCTACAAATCCCACGAGCCATTGCAAGATTCTTACAGCCACAGACATGATTACCAGAGACAGATGCATGATAGGATTTCTAGTTTCGCCACAACTGGAGGGCCAGAGTTTGCCCACCCCTCATATACTACAAAAAGCTCTACCAAATAGCAGTTTTATTTTTTAAGTTCAGTTCCACTTTTTAAAGAAGAGGGTTGGCATGGTGCAATGTGATTAAAAAAAAAAAGTGAAGCATTTGGCTTCAAATTCGCTATAAACACAGAATTTAACATTTAAAATCCCAATTTTTTTTACCATAACCTGAACCCCATTACCACCAGAGGTCACAGAAGGCTCGATACCCACATCACATTTAGCAATGTCGGTTTACTTGGCAATAACGCTATGCCAAATTTGCTTACCCTAAGACACAGAGAAGGGAATTTATCAAAACTGGAGCAGACAAAAACTGGAGCAGCTGAGCATGGCAACCAATCAGTTACTATCTTTCATTTTCAAATCTTAACTGAACAACCTTAAGGGAGAAGCTGATTGGTTGCCATGCACAGCTGCTCCAGATTTTGTCTGCTCCAGTTTTGATAAATTCCCTCCAGAGTGAATCAGATCGCCAACATATACTGTATGTCTGGTAGGTCAAATAAAATGCTATTGTATAAATAATAAGGGAAACATACAACTTCTGGTGTAGTGACTGATGTACATCTACATGTCCACAAGATGGCGCCACACTTTGGGAAAACCATAAGAAAAAAATGTCAAGTGAATGATTTCTGCAG